CCCCACCCTGACCCCCCCCCCCCAGGCCTCCTGTGCCACCTGGAAGACATGTGTCTGAGCCAGCCATGCCACGGGGAAGCCCAGTGCAGCACCAACCCCCTGACAGGCTCCACACTCTGCCTGTGTCAGCCCGGCTACTCAGGGCCCACCTGCCACCAGGACCTGGACGAGTGCCAGATGGGTGAGGCAGCCCCACCTCAGAGCCTCTCTGAGCCCCAGATAGGCCTCTGCACTGAGGACAGAAAAGGGCAAATTTTCAAATTCAAACAACAAACGTCTTTTTCCTTGAATTTGTCCAGATTTGGCATCTCTTCCCTACATGGTCCTATCATCAATGCTCAGCCCTGGAGGCCCCTCAGATTTGCCCCCTAAGTTCTTCTCCATCTTAAAGACACAAGCTCCTTCCTCGATGTGGTCGCATCTGCCACAAACATGTCCCCACACCTTCCCTGACAGCCTGGCCTCCTTGTCTGTCCCATCTATGGCCCCTGTGGACTCCCAGCTCTTCTCTCCCTGCAGCCCAGCAAGGTCCCAGTCCCTGCGAACATGGCGGCTCCTGCCTCAACACCCCTGGCTCCTTCAACTGCCTCTGTCCACCTGGCTACACTGGCTCCCGCTGCGAGGCTGATCACAATGAGTGCCTGTCCCAGCCCTGCCACCCAGGCAGCACCTGCCTGGACCTACTTGCCACCTTCCACTGCCTCTGCCCACCAGGTACCAACTGAATGTGGTGTGGGTGGGGGAAGCAGAGAACTAACCCTGAACCCACTGGGAATCACCTCTCCATCCAAAGCAATGACAGCATCGGGCCAGTTGGGGTCAGGTAGCACAGGATGCTTCTGCTCTCCCCACTCCCAGATGACAACCCTGGGACACCCATGGCCCCTAGGGGAAGGGCTGCCACAGAGGGTAGTGAGGTTGTGCACTGCTCAACTCCATGGGGCTGCCATTCATTTCACAGTCATCGTAGAGTGCACAACCTGGCCCACTGTATACAGCGGCCCAGCGAGGAAGTGTAGAATAGCAGCTAATAAACTTTCCATGCTGCAGCCACATGCCAACCCAGAATGCTCCCCTACTCACAGAAACTCTCCTCTGTAGAGAGAGGGTAATCCCTTAAAATCCCAAAGGCTTGTGCACCTGAATTTGGTGCAACAGGGAAGGAGGGCTACAAGGATACACCCATCTCCAGGTCAGTTTTAAGGGGGAAAGTCTCCCCAGGGAGAGAGTGACAGAGTCAACACCAGGGAGCTGGATAAAACCAAAAAAGTAATATCAAACTTTGTTCCAGGCACTCTCTGAACATCTTACATGTGTTATTTCATCTAATCTTTACAGTAAGCCTATGAAGTTAGCATTGTTGCAATGCCCATTTTATAAATGAAGAAACTGAGGTACGGAGAGTTTAAGTGACTTGTCCAAGGTTACCCAGCTCATGAGTGGCAGAGCCAAGATTCAAACCAAGAACTTCAATAGTTATAACCACTACACTATACCACCTGGCTGAGCAGCACCCACGAATAGTGGCTCAGGTCACCCACAGACAATCGTAGAAAAATAAGAAAAAAATGTTCAGTAATCCAAGGGACAAGGTTGTAGATATCAAGGAGCTTCAGAGACAGGTTCCCCAGGCAAGAAGAGGGAGACAGCTAAGGTCCAGACGTTGATCCCACCTCAGTTCTGGGCAAGACAGTGGAGACCAGGACCAGCTCAAAGCAATGGGACACAGCTTCCCAAATGCCCTTCAAATTCCCCCACTTTGAGAACCCTGGTCTCCCTGGCACAGAGGCCTGCCGATGTGAAACAAGAGAGAATCCCCCTTCAAGCAGATGCCCACTGGTGCCATTTGTACCTTGAGGGCCTCCCAGCTGGTCAGCCCTCCGGGGTAAGTCCTGCTCTATGTGTACATAGGAATGCCCCCAAAAGGCACTTCCTCCCAGTGCTCCTACAGGACCCCACAAGTCTCCTGCTCCCTGAGCTTTCACAACTGAAGGAGACAGAGCCACACATCGCAGAGCAGCAGGACCTCAGGGTTCATCTTGTACAACCCACATGCACACAGCACCAGGGGAGGGGCTGCTTGATGGGGGTACACGGCAAGTCAGGGGCAGGGCTGGTTCTAGAACTGGGGTCTCTCAGGCAGAAGGGGAGCAGCCAAAGCGGGCCCAGCCTGGCTGGGCCTCCCCTCTCAGGACACACATGTCCCCAGGCTTAGAAGGACATCTCTGCGAGGTGGAGACCAATGAGTGTGCCTCCGCTCCTTGCCTGAACCATGCTGACTGTCACGACCTGCTCAACAGCTTCCTGTGCATCTGCCCACCCGGTGGGTGCAAACTCCACTCCAGCCCCCCTCATCCCCCAGGCCTCTGAATCACCAAAGTTCAGGCTCAGCAATCACCCAGGCTTCTTGAAGCTCTCTGTAGCCTGGTCAAAGAGTCCCCTTTTCTCCTATTCTTTCCCTGCTCCCCAAACTCTCTTCCTGTTACATCCCCAGATCTTCCCTCACTTACTTACCCACTCCCATCTCTGTCCTGCCGAATTACCCAAACATCCCTCCCTTCCAGCCCTCCTGCAGACTCCTCTGTGTACTCTCCCTGCATGTTGGGCATCCCAGGCTTGTGTTGGCACTGCTCACCAAGGGTGCAGGGAAAGCTGCCCCAAGCCTTTCTTCATGGGGCACTTCATGGGGCATCCCTCTGCCCCCTGCTGTGATAATAACTACATTCATTGAATATTTACTCCAGGCCAGGCACTTGGCTATGTTCATTTTGGGCATTATGTCATTTAATCCTTTCAATGGTACCATGAGGTAGGTTCCACTATTATGCCCCCTTTACAGAAGAGGAAACTGGAGCCTAGAAAGGTTGAGTAGCTTGCCCAAAGTCACACAGCTGGCAGGTGGCTGAGTTTCCCCTTTTCTGCATCACCTTCCTATCACCCCACACCCCCCATTACAGGTACCTTCTCTGGGAAGCCCTACAGATTCACCTTTCCTAGCAAGGAGAGGGACTACACTGTGTTTCCCTCAGTGACCTTGGCCTTCTCTCCCAACCCACTGCCTGCCCCACCAGGATTCACCGGCACCCGGTGTGAGGAGGACATGGACGAATGCAGAAGCTCACCCTGTGCCAACGGCGGGCAGTGTCAGGACCAGCCTGGAGCCTTCCATTGTGTGTGTCTTCCAGGTAAACTGGGGCTCAGACACTGGAGGAGAGAGTGGGGATGGTGGCAGATGTCTGTGCAGGTCCCTGACACTCCTGCTGTGCCATAGGTTTTGAAGGGCCACGCTGTGAGACAGAGGTGGACGAGTGCCTGAGTGGCCCATGCCCCATTGGAGCCAGCTGCCTTGACCTCCCAGGAGCCTTCTTTTGCCTCTGCCCCTCTGGCTTCACAGGTCAGCAGGGGAAGCATTGGAAAGGACTGGCAGGATATTTGAGTCCATTTGGGGTGGAGCAGAGGTCATTGGTGGGTGTTTGATGGTTGGGATGTGAGAATAGAATGAGGATGGTAACCTTTAAAGTTATTCAGTACAAAACCTGCACAACCATACAACCATGGGAACGAGGGCAGCTGTTACATGAATGGTGTGATTGAGGCTCAGGAGTAGAAGACAGGGCTCAAAGAAAGCTACTCACTTGCTTATTCAGCAACCATTTATTAAGTCCTATTATGCCAGACACAGAAGCAAAGTTGACTGAGAGTTGCTCTCCTCAAATGGCTTTAAATCTAATGCAGAGAAGCCAACAAGTCTCCTGTTGATTATCGCCCAGAGAAGTGCTCTGAGAGAGGAATGCACAGGGTCCTGTAGGAGCACAAAGGACCAGCCAACCCAGACTAATGATGAGAAGGCTTCATGGAGGAGGTGATGGCTGAGCTGAGTCTTGAAAGATGAGTAAGAGTTTGTCAAGACAGAACACCAGACATCATGTTCTAGCTGGAGATAACTACGTGTGCAAAGTCACAGAGGGAAGAAAACACGCCCCACTTAGGAAACTGTACAAGATCCTGAGCTTAGGGTGCAAAGAGGCAAAGATGAGAAACACAGCAGTTGTAGGAAGGTCACATCATGCAGGACCCTGTGTGCCATTCTGAGGAAGCTCAACAGTATCCTGAAAGCAATAGGGAGCCATTGTAGGATGAGTTTTGGGAGGAGTGAGTGAGTCATGCATAAGAACTGAGGACACTTTGACCCCATCATGGACGTGCAGGGACTGTTTTCTTTCTGATACATCTCACCCCAGGCCAGCTCTGTGAGGTTCCCCTGTGTGCCCCCAACCTGTGCCAGCCCACAAAGCAATGCCAGGATCAGGAAGAAAAGGCCCACTGCCTCTGCCCTGATGGAAGCCCTGGTTGTGCCCCTGCTGAGGACAATTGCACCTGCCACCATGGGCACTGCCAGAGGTAACATCTTCCAGCCTAGGAGAAAGCATGCATCTACTTAGGTAGTAGTTAAGTAGTTAAGAGAGTCAAAAGTTATACACAGATTTTCGACTGCACAGGGGTCAGCACCCAGCCCCCATATGTTCAAGGGTCAACTATATTAAATCTTGTTGGAGAAAATGAGCAGGGGATGAAAGAGACATGGGAAGGGGCCGGCCCGGTGGCGTACTGCTGCAGTGCGCCGCTTGGGAAGTGCGGTGGCGCTCCCGCCGAGGGTTCGGATCCCACATACAGACCGGTTCCCGCTCACTGGCTGAGCGAGGTGTAGGAGCAACACCAAGGGTTGCGATTCCGTTGCCCGTCCCAGTCCGGTACGGGCACGACACTGAGGGTTGCGATCCGTTGCCGGTCACGAAAAAAGACAAAAAGGAAAAAAGAAAGAGAGAGAGACATGGGAAGCAGAGCGATACTGAGAGCAAAATCATTGAAGAAAGAGGCCAGAATCTCAGGGCCAAAATAAAAGATCATAGTGGTCTGGCCAATGGGGAGGGGAGAGGATGCACTAGGAGGAGAGAAAAACTCTCCCCTTTCTCTTTATGACCAGATCTTCATGTGTGTGTGATGTGGGCTGGACAGGGCCAGAGTGTGGGGCAGAGCTGGGCGGCTGCATCTCCACGCCCTGTGCCCATGGGGGGACCTGCTACCCCCAGCCCTCTGGCTACAACTGCACCTGCCCCACAGGCTACACAGGTGAGGCCCTCCCTAAACCATGTAAACCCTGGGCTGGTCGCCCCCTAAATCCAGGGCAAGGCATATAACCAAGGGCTCTGTGTTTCAGTCACCACAAAGGAGAATTGGGCATGGGCTTCAGGGGACACCAGTGATGTGCGGGAGGTGGTGAGAAAAGAAAAGGGGTTGGATGGGGGAGAACGATAGGGCTGGGGATGAGGAAGGGAAGGGAAAGAAAAGAGTAGGAGGGTGGAGGGAGAGGTGGGAGGACCCCCTTTCTCAGACCCCACCTGTTTCCCTCAGGTCCTACCTGTATTGAGGAGGTAACAGCTTGTCACTCAGGGCCCTGTCTCAATGGTGGCTCCTGCAGCCCCAGCCCTGGAGGCTACTCCTGCACCTGCCCTCCAAGCCACACAGGGCCCCACTGCCAAACCAGTACTGACCACTGTGTGTCTGGTGAGTGCCCACCATGTCCTAGGACTGGGCCACACGGGGGTGGAGGACTGGGCAGGGTGTGTTTGTGCCGTATCTTTAAAAAATTAATTGGCCGAGCCCGTGGCGCACTCGGGAGAGTGCGGCACTGGGAGCTCAGCAACGCTCCTGCCGCAGGTTCGGATCCTATATAGGGATGGCTGGTGCGCTCACTGGCTGAGTGCGGTGTGGCCGGTCTCAAAAAGGTCCAAAAACAAACAAAAAAACATCGAAATGGGCCGGCCCGTGGCTCACTCGGTAGAGTGCAGTGCCGATAACACCAAGGCCACAGGTTCGGATCCTATATAGGGATGGCCGGTTTGCTCACTGGGTGAGCGTGGTGCTGACAACACCAAGCCAAGGGTTGAGATCCCCTTACCAGTCATCCTTTGAAAAAAAAAAAAAATTAATTGAACAGAGGTGAGCTGTTGTTTTCATTGGGAGCGGATGCCCTGTGTGCGGTCACAGGCCAGGTTACAGGCAAAGAACCCAACCCCTCACAGCCTCCTCTCTCCAGCCCCGTGCCTCAATGGGGGTACCTGTGTGAATGGGCCTGGCACCTTCTCCTGCCTCTGTGCCATGGGCTTCCAGGGCCCACGCTGTGAGGAAATGATCCTCCCCAGCTGTGCAGACAGGTGAGCAGGGCACAAAGTCCCCTGGAGGAAGGGAGGGAGCCCCCCCAGCCTTCCCAGCCTTCCTCTCCATCTCCCCTTGGGCTCCGGGCTGCCTCCCACTCCACACCCCAGGCCCTTCATTGTGCCCTCCCTCCCGGTTTCCCATCTCTCCAGTACTTGCCTCCCCACTGAATCATGCACTCCCTCCCCCTTGTTTCCCAGAACTTTTTCCTACTGTGCCTTGTCTCTGTCTTGTCCAGCCCCTGTAGGAACAGGGCGACCTGCCAAGACAGCCCTCAGGGTCCCCACTGCCTCTGTCCCCCTGGCTACACAGGAGGCAGCTGCCAGGTGAGAGGCATTGAGCCAGGTGTGCTGAGGAGGGAGCACTCCAGTGAGAGGGGCCTGGGGACATAAAGGTGGGCAGCAGGGAAGCTTGGGAGAGGTATCCATGTGAAGGCAGGTATGGAGGTCTAGGAGCTGGGTGTCTGGCTTGAGGTTTGTGTAGAATGAAGAAAAAGGAAGGACTGAACAGATTTCAGATCCCAGGAGCTGTTCTGGGACATGGGTGTTGAAGGAAACCAGGGAGGGTCACCTGGTCCCAGACCACTCAGGAGAGAGTTTTAGAGGTAAGGGATTTTGAGGAGCTGCCATTGGCAGAGGACCATCTGATGCTCTGTCCTGCCTCATGCTCCTCCCAACCCTCAGACTCTGATGGACTTATGTGCCCAGAAGCCCTGTCCACACCACTCCCACTGCCTCCAGACTGGGCCGTCCTTCCAGTGCCTGTGCCTCCAGGGATGGACTGGGCCACTCTGCAACCTCCCACTGTCCTCCTGCCAGAAGGCTGCGCTGAGCCAAGGTACCAGCCCAAGGACTGACTGGGAGCAGATGAAGAAACAAAGGGCATCCTCCTCTCCTCCATCCCTAAGGCCACCCACACTCAGCCTTTGACCAAAACTAGTGTCTGAGCCAAAAACACAGGCCAACCACAGTTATTGATTCTACTGTTCAACACCTAGGGAGGCCTATACAACTAACTCAACTCCTGTCACCACTCTGAACACAACTCAAACAACACCAACCAGCCCAGTCATCAAGACTCGAGTTTAACACAAGCACCAGGGACAAAGCTCAGCATGGAGCGACTCAACTCATGATCAACACAATTTAACCAGAGCAGGCCACATCTAACCCAACTATACTCAACACATTTCACCCCACCCAAGTCACTTTGACGTTACACCAACCCCCTTGTAAAAGAATACTCCCCCCCCCCACAAACACACACACACACACATTCAAGAAGAGCTCAGGAAAGAGATTGTGTGAGGTTAGGGGGTGGTTGATGGGAATTACAGTGAGAGAAACTCGAAGAGGATGCAAAATTCAAGGGAGAGGCTTGGGCCACTAGCTAAGCCACATGTCTCTGCCTGAAGCGTCCCTTGAATTATTTCTTGGTTAAGATTTCTTTTAAGCCAAGAAAACAGTGACTTAGTCACTCTGCTAAGCCTAAGAGGTATCTCTCCCATATTCTGGCAGAAAAGGGTAGAGGGGGAACTAGATAGTTTAACCTCTTCAGTGTCAGGAGTTACCAAGTCCTTAGGCTCAGAGTGGCCCCCAAGGTAAAGGCCTCTCTGCTCAGTGCCTGGGGCCCCCTGAACACCCTTCCACCCCCTTATCTTTACATATCCCTGTCTCTCTCCCCAGGCATAGATGTCTCTTCCCTGTGCCAGAATGGAGGCCTCTGCATCGATAGCGGCCCCTCCTATTTCTGCCACTGCCCTCCTGGATACCAAGGCAGCTTATGCCAGGACAATGTGAACCCTTGTGAGTCCAGGCCTTGCCAGCACGGGGCCACCTGCGTGGCCCAGACCAATGGGTATCTCTGCCAGGTGAGAGGGTTTAGAGGGGAGGGGGAAGAGAAGACAAGGGGGACTGGATGTGAGAGAAAGTCGTGATGGGGAGGGGACCCAATATATCCACTTCTCCTCCCTTTCCTGTACCCCACACGTCCAACTAACTACCAAGTCATAACATGTTACTTCCTGAATATTTCCCAGCTCTGTCCTTTCCCACTGCCTTGGTCAAGGTCTTTGCTACATTCTGCCTGGATAGCTGCATCAGCTTCTTAACTATCATCCCTGCCTCTACACTGTCCTCCTTTAGGTTCAGGCTTTACCCCACTACCAGCGTACACTACTGAAAATGTTAAGCTGACCTGTCACTCCCCTGCTGAATGCCCTTCAGTGGCTGCCCACCTCTTTCAGAATAAAGCCCAGGGCCCTGCATGACCCAGCCCTGCCTACTTCCTGGGCTTCATCTCTCCCCACCCCCACCCTGCCGCTGAGCTTCAGCAACACAAAAATGCTGCTGGCTTTCCTACACACCCCACGCTGACTCAGCCTTTATCCCTGCTGTTGCCAGTGTCTGGAATGCCTTCCCAACCCCTCTTCCACCAGATGGTGCCCAGGAGGCACCTTTCTCAGGAAGATGTCCCTAACTTCTCTCCAGGCTGGATTAGAGCCTCTCCTTGGTGGTCTAGGTCACTAAGCCAGGACAGGCAAAGCTGGGACTCTAGTCCGATTAGCCTGATTTCTGGGCTCAGAACCACAACTTTTTTTTTTTTTTTCCTTTTTTACTGACCGGTAACGGAATCACAACCCTCGGTGTCGCGCCCGTACCAGGGACCAGCAACGGGATCGCAACCCTCAGTGTTGCACCTGCACCGCGCTCAGCCAGTGAGTGGGAACCGGTCTCCACATGGGATCCGAACCCTCGGCGGGAGCGCCTCCGCACTCCCAAGCGGCGCACTCTCCAGTGCGCCACCGGGCTGGCCCAGAACCACAACTTTTGATAGAAGGCACAATGCAGATCCCCTAACACACTCTCTCTATTTCACTTTTAATTTTTATTTTTTAACCTTTTATTTTGAAGATTTTCAAACATATACAAAAGCCGTGTGCTGATCAGCAGTGAGCCTCTGTGCACCCATCACTCACTTTACTTCCTCTTTCATGAAACTCCCTCCTCCAGCGGTTTCCAAATCACCCTCCTCACCTGCTCCGTCCAGCTCTCTGGCTACTCCTCAGATTCCTTGTGAATCCCCTTTTCCCCATTTCTCTGAGGTTTTCCTGGTACTCCATTCTTGCATGCTCTCCTTCCTCTTGCAAAAACCCAGCATGTGGTACAGGCCTCATCACTAGCAGAGCGGCATGAAACAATCAGAAAATGGTTAAGGGCATTGGTTATGAAGTCACAGACCTACATTCAATCCCAGCTCTGCCACCTATAGCTGGGTGACTTGTGCAAGTCACTTAACCTTTCAGGGACTTAGTGTCCTTATCTGTAAGGTGAGGATCAAATGATACAATCTACATAAAGTGTTGTTAGGAGGGTTTTATGAGGTTAGTATACAAATCATGCAATAAATGCTAGCTGTCTCTCACCTCTGGTTGACTGAAAGCTTCATGGAAACAGGAAGGAGTTCTAATTTTCTTTGTATTCCTAGTGCCTATAATGGTGCCTGGTAAAAGTAGGTATTCAATAGATGTTTATGAATTAATTAATAAAACATGAGAGAGCATGGTGGGTGAGTTGGTAGGGGAGTGAGGGAAGTTTTACCAAAAACAGAACTATGTATAATGACAGTGTGTCATAGGGATTATTTGGGACGGGGAAGGGTTAAGTTACCTATTATTGAACAATCGTGCATCATGTGGAGTTGAGATAAAAGGGTTAAGCCACATGTGGCGATGATGGATGGTGAGTTGAGTGATACTGTTGATCTGGAAGGTTGGGGGCTAAGCAGGCTATCTTGGGCTGGGTCCCTTATAGTGCTGGCTAGGCTCATTCACGGTTCTGTCTGACCCTCTTTGCCTGCAGTGCGCCCCAGGCTACAATGGACAGAACTGCTCAAAGGAACCCGACCCTTGTCAGTCCCAACCCTGTCACAACCATGGAACCTGCATCCCCAAACCTGGAGGCTTTGACTGTGCCTGCCCTCCAGGCTTTGTGGGGCTGCGCTGTGAGGGGGACGTGGATGAGTGTCTGGACCGGCCCTGTCACCCCGCAGGCACTGCAGCCTGCCATTCTCTGGCCAATGCCTTCTACTGCCAGTGTCTACCTGGACACACAGGTGAGGCCTAGGAGGGAAGGTGCAGGCATCTCTAGGGCACAGCTGAGCAGACCATGGAGACCCAGTCAATCCCCACTCATGAGGCGGCCTAGTCATCTTGTCCATCCCTGCCTCCCTGTTCGACCCCAGAGAAGACGACCCATGATCCATTTGCCTGCACATCTAGTGCTGGGCCAAGTCCCAGGAATGAGCTAGGAAGGAAGCAGTGACTGAAGCATGTGTGACATCTAATCTCACCCCCACCACAGGCCAGTTGTGTGAGGTGGAGATAGACCCCTGCCAGAGCCAGCCCTGCTCCCATGGAGGGTCCTGTGAGGCCACAGCAGGACCACCCCCAGGTTTCACCTGCCACTGTCCCAAGGTAAGTGACTGCAAAACTGCCTTCTCTGTTGCCCCCTATACTGATAAAAGGTGAGAATGACTGAACTGGAATCCTAGAGGGGAGCACAAGGAAGCACTGGAGTGGGAATTACTGGAGGAAGCCATCCCAAGTTCACAGCAGTGAATGGCTCTCAGAAGCAGTTGGGTGAGAGGCAGGATCAGGTGGCAGCATGAATGGAATTTTCCAGATCACAGGCATTGCCTAAGAGAAGGTCAAGAGCTCCCCAAGATCAAGCCAGATGGCCTTAGGAAAGTTCTTTTAACTCTGGATATGGATGTGTGTGAGTAGGTGTTTATGGGCATCAGATGCATGAAATTGGATTAATCTTAAATCTTGGTTCGTGATACACTGACATTGGCTTGTGCCCAGCCTTCTTTTATTTTATTATTCTAACAATATAACACCCATGAACCTAACCCAAGAATTACAATATAATAACATACATCTACTTATGTCGTCCTCCTCTATCCTGCTCTCCCGCAAGAGGAAGAGGAAGGCACATAAGCCTATCTTCGAGGATTAAGATAATATAGTAGAGTTCAACTCTGTTAACCGTTTAGTCTTCCAGGACTTGCATTATGCTACAATTCATCCAGATTGTTGCACACAGCTGTGGTTCATCCATTTTCACCACAATGTAATAAGTCACTGTGTGAAACTACCATGGGACATAGTTTCAACATTCCTAAAATGATTACCTTGATGCTCTCTAAGGACTCTTTTAGATATCAGAATCTAGGACCCCCTGTGCTATCTTAACCCAGGAGTTTGCTTGGGGGGAAATGAGAAGAATAATGCAAGGTACTTCCCAATATCTCTCCTCCCCTCCACAGGGTTTTGAAGGCCCCACCTGCAACCACAGAGCCCCTTCCTGCGGCCTCCATCACTGCCATCACGGGGGCCTGTGTCTGCCATCCCCCAAGCCAGGCTTCCCACCCCGCTGTGCTTGCCTCAATGGCTATGGGGACCCTGACTGCCTGACCCCACCAGCTCCTCAAGGCTGTGGCCCCCCCTCCCCATGCCTACACAATGGCAGCTGTTCAGAGACCCCTGGGTTGGGGAGCCCAGGCTTTCGATGCTCCTGCCCTCCCAACTCTCCAGGGCCCCGGTGTCAAAGGCCTGAGGCAAAGGGGTGTGAGGGCAGAGATGGAGATGGGGCCTGTGATGCTGGCTGCAGCGGCCCAGGAGGAAACTGGGATGGAGGGGACTGCTCCCTGGGGGTCCCAGACCCATGGAAGGGCTGTCCCTCCCACTCCCGGTGCTGGCTTCTCTTCCGGGATGGGCAGTGCCACCCACAGTGTGACTCTGAAGAATGTCTGTTTGATGGCTATGACTGTGAGATCCCTCAAGTCTGCACGTGAGCCTGAAACCCACTGGCACCAGGGAAGGAGGTGGGGGGTGAGGGGAGGAAGAAGGACATAGATGCCTTTCAGTTACAGTGTGGCCACAGCCTTGGGCTCCAGAGAGCTTGCACCCTGATAATATTGCTAAGTAGGAGTAGAAGACTCTGGCTCCAGCTCAGGGTAGTGGGGTGGCATCAATAGTTAATGTTGGGCATAGCCTCTGTTGGGGCTCCTCACTGAGAGTGGTGGGAGCTCAGGCCTCAAGTCTCCCTCCCAAAGCCCTGTTGCTATGGAGTATCTCTCCTAGCAATCAGCACCCTAAAGGAAAAGGGCCGTGGACTCTCTTTTAAGGAGACAGGAGAGCTTGGGAGGGTTGGGAGAAAGGATGGTCTTAGAAGACAAGGGTGACAGTAGACATGAGGGTGTCTGGACTACCATCCAGGGTTTGATTAAGCCCATTGCTACACAGTTGCCCCCACTTAGCAACCAGAGTCCTAGAAGCCATGGAATGTCAGGATTTCTCTCTGGGGTAAAGAGGGGAGTCAGGTTTTGGAGGGGTCTTGAGTCCCTCTCTCCTCACCCCACAGTCCAGCCTATGACCAGTACTGCCGCGACCACTTCCACAACGGGCACTGCGAGAAAGGCTGCAACACCGCAGAATGTGGCTGGGATGGGGGTGACTGCAGGCCCCAAGATGGGGACTCAGAGTGGGGACCCTCCCTGGCCCTACTGGTGGTGCTGAGCCCCCCGGCCCTGGACCAGCAGCTGCTTTCCCTGGCCCGAGTGCTATCCCTGACTATGAGGGTGGGGCTCTGGGTGAGGAAGGATAGTGATGGCAGGGACATGGTATACCCCTATCCTGGGGCCCGGGCTGAAGAGGAGCTAGGAGGAATTCCAGACCCCTCTCATCAGGAGAGAGCAGCCCCTCAAACACAGCCCCTGGACAGGGAGACAGATTCTCTCAGCACAGGGTAAGAAGCTGGGTGAAGGGGAGGGCCAGACGCTAGTTTTTTTAATGGGACACAGGGAGGGAAGGGACATAGGGACCAACACAGGGGCCTGAGGTGCCTCCCCTACAGGTTTGTGGTGGTGATGGGTGTGGATCTCTCCCACTGTGGCCCCGACCAACACACATCTCGCTGCCCCTGGGACCCTGGGCTCCTGCTTCGCTTCCTTGCTGCGATGGCCGCAGTGGGGGCCCTGGAGCCCTTGCTCCCTGGACCCCTGCTGGCTGCCCACCCTCATGCAGGCACCGGTAGGTGACCCCCTGCCATTTCCCCTGACCTTTGCTCCCAGATGGCTCTCATGCCTCGCAGGCCAGCACTCATGCCAGCGGTAGGCAATGGAGGCGGAATGAAACAGGATAACAGGGACCCAAAATGTCTTTTGTGGAGACTTACCTTCCTTAACCCCACTTTCTCTAACTGGATCTCCTGGATGGTCCATTTGTTCTGCATTCTCCTTCCTTAAGTACTTTATCCTAACCTCTGTCATAGCCCTCCAACAAACCTTGGGTTCTGGTTTATCTTCTCTACTGGACCAAGAGTATCCAATCATTTCTGTATCAAACAATTCATGGTACACAAAAGAATAATAGCTGATACATCGTGCTTACTATGTTCCTTGCTCTAAGCGTTTTACATTATTAACTCATTTAATCTTCCCCAAAACCCCATGAGGCAGGTACTATTATCCCCATTTTACAGATGAGAAAGCTGAGGTAAAGAGGGGTTACTGCACTTGTCCAAAGGTCTCACAAGATCGACTAGTCTCACCAGGAATGGCCTCTCCTATTTATGACTGTGTCTCTCCCACTAGTGCCCACCACCAACCAGCTCCCCTGGCCTGTGCTGTGCTCGCCAGTGGCTGGCGTGCTTCTCCTGGCCCTAGGGGCTCTTCTTGTCCTCCAACTCATCCGGCGTCGACGCCGAGAGCATGGAGCCCTCTGGCTGCCCCCTGGTTTCACTCGAAGGCCTCAGACTCAGGCAACTCCCCACCGACGCCGGCCCCCATTAGGCGAGGACAGCATCGGCCTCAAGTAAGAGTGAGGAGGAACCCAGACTCAGGGAGGGGACTTCTTCTTGTGTGGATATTTATGATCAGAAGAGATAAGAAATGCTATTACAGAAGTCAAAAATAGGGGAACGAGAGAGGAGTAGAGAAGCTGCTGGAAATCGTGGAGACCCTGATGGTCATAACCTTGCATAACCTCTCCCCACCCACCTCCTTCCAGGGCACTGAAGCCAGAGGCAGAAGTTGATGAGGATGGAGTTGTGATGTGCTCAGGCCCCGAAGAGGGGGAGGAGGTGGGTCAGGAGAAAGGGCTGGGACAGGAATGGTCTGGAGGGAATGAAAGAACAAGTCAACCACCTTCACTGATGCTTGCTCTTACCCCAAGGCTGAAGATAGGGCCCCACCCTCCAAGTGCCAGCTCTGGCCTCTGAGTAGCAGCTGCGGGGAGCTCCCTCAGGCAGCCATGCTGACTCCTCCCCAGGAGTCTGAGATGGAGTCCCCTGATGTTGACACCCGTGGACCTGGTAAGTAAGCCAAACCAGACCAAAAAAATGAAAACCTCCTTTCAGAACCAGAAAGTTCTTTAATATCAGAACTGGAGGAATTAATGTTAGAGTTAGTGCCTTATAGCAGTGATTCTAAAACTGTGGTCCTCAGCAGAATCAGCATCACCTCAGAATATGTTAGAAATGCACATTCTCAGGTTCCACTATAGAGCCACTGATTCAGAAATTCTAGATGTTGGGCAATCTGTGTTTTAAAAAGTCTTCCAGGTGAGTCTGATCCAGATTCAAGTTTGAGAACCACTACCCTAGAATGTTAGAGAATTAAGGCCTGCTGGTTCCTTTTACAGATGAAGACATTGAAGCTCAGAGAAAAGTAAAAGTCACTTGATTAAAGCCACAAAAATCAAAAGTCAGACCTTGGTTTCCTGACACCTCCAGCTGTGATTCTCCCTGAACCTCCATGTTCTCCCCTCCCCCTTATAGTGTCCTTTTGATTGACCCATTCTTCATGTCTCACCCACAGATGGGGTGACACCTCTGATGTCAGCAGTCTGCTGTGGGGGAGTGGACTCCAGGACCTTCCAGGAAGCATGGTTGGGAAGTCCTGAGCCCTGGGAACCTCTGCTGGATGAAGGGGCCTGCCCTCAGGCTCATACTGTGGGCACTGGGGAGACTCCCTTACATCTGGCTGCCCGATTTTCCCGGCCAACTGCTGCCCGCCGCCTCCTTGCAGCTGGAGCCAACCCCAACCAGCCAGACAGGGCAGGGCGAACCCCCCTACACGCTGCTGTGGCTGCAGATGCTCGGGAGGTCTGCCAGGTCAGCGCACACTGGGGGCCCTAAAGGGAACGGGAGTGAGCTTACAAGTAAAGCTGGGCAGAAGTATCCTATAGGGTTTGGCAAAGAGAAACTCATGTGTGATTGGAGAGACCTGAGAGGGAAACAAGGGAGGATGGCTGAATATGGACTAGGAGGGGGGATAAAACTGTGAGGAACCTGGGCTGAGTCCAGGGTACCCCAGGAGTCACTGGCTCTCTCTGTCATCCCAGCTCCTACTGCGCAGCAGACAGACTGCAGTGGATGCGCGCGCAGAGGACGGGACAACACCCTTGATGCTGGCCGCGAGGCTGGCGGTGGAAGACTTGGTTGAAGAACTGATTGCAGCCCGAGCAGATGTGGGGGCCAGAGATAAATGGGGTATGGATGGGGGCGGTGATATTGTGCTATAGAGAAGTTGAGGAGATGGGCTATGAAATGAGATGCAAAATGTATGAGCAGCAGGGGGACAGATTGGAGGCTGGGGCATTCCTTCCCACCCTGCTGTCACGGTGGTACATCTGCGGTGCGGTGGCAGTATGGAGCGCATGAGTTTCCTCCCACATCCTCAACAACAAACACACACTGCCGCAGCACACAGGAAACTGGAATGGAGGAAAGTGTCTGTGGGAAGAGGGAAGGGTCTTGTGGCGGGAGTTGGTCTCCCGGTCCCACCGACCCCAGAACAATGCCACATTGTCCCTCCCGCGCGCCGGTGACGTCACCAGGGCAACGCTTCCTGCAGGCCGGCGGTCGCCGGGAAAACGCTTCCCGCTTTTCAGTGACCCGGCGGGCCCGAACAGCCCTTCCTCCCAAGGTCAGGATCCGTGGGAAACCGGAACCCAGGCGTCCGGCCCCCAACCCCGGGATAACAACCTTCTGCGTCGCCCCCTAGGAAAAACTGCGCTGCACTGGGCCGCCGCCGTGAACAACGCCCGGGCCGCCCGCTCCCTTCTCCAGGCCGGAGCCGATAAAGATGCCCAAGACAACAGGGTTAGACAGGGCGGCTGGTTCCCCACAAAAAAATGGGGCGTGAGAGAAACGGAAATAGCAGGAACCCCGCAAAACCCATAGGGGGAGGGTCACTGGTCGAGTGGGTGGAGTCAGGCAGAGCCAATCCCGTGACCGTGGCCCTCCCTGACCTCGCCCCGTTGCTGTTTCCTCCCGTACAGGAGCAGACGCCGCTGTTCCTGGCGGCCCGGGAAGGAGCGGTGGAGGTAGCACAGCTGCTGCTGGGGTTGGGGGCGACCCGAGGGCTGCGGGACCAAGCTGGGCTGGCGCCTCGGGACATCGCCCGCCAGAAGAACCACTGGGATCTGCTGCCGCTGCTGGAAGGGGCGGTGCCACCGGACGCGCGTCACAAAGCTGCGCCGAGCCGCGAGGCCGGGGCCTTCCCGCGCGCGCGGGTCGCGTCAGGAAGCGCGCCCCCGCGTGGGGGCGGGGCTCTGCCGCGCTGCCGGACTATGTCAGCCGGAGCAGGCCCTCGTGAGGGCGGAGCTTGTCTGCAATCTCGGACTTTGTCGGTAGACTTGGCCGCTCGCGGGGGCGGGGCCTATTCGCATTGTCGGAGCCTACCCGGAGGAGGCCCGCTCCCCCGCGGCCGTAGGTTTTCTGCAGGCATGCGTGGGCCTCGGCCCAACCCTGCGATTGTGCAAGGAAGATCTGGGGTCGCGGCCAGGCGCGGGGGCAGGGTTTCAGCGGATGACAGGCCCTGTGATTGGGTAGCCCTGGGAGCCTGCTGTCCCGCCTCCAATACTTCGATCCCGCCTCTTTGCCTTACTCCCCAGAGCGGGGATCCCCTCAAGTTGTCTGGGGTCCCCCAACCCAAGTAATGCCCTTAAATCCGGGAGGAGAGGGTCAAAAATAGAAAGCTACGGGGGGAAAGAGGAGGGCGGGTATTCTAAAAATGATTATCTATTAAATGACAGCCAGTCTGGAAGGTCCTCCGGGTTTTAAAATCTAGCCCCAAAAGTGGGTCGAAAATGTAGTTTTTCTCCCCAAATGAGTGTATTCCCACTAGAACAGGCATCATCTTCCATGCGGAGAAGCCGCAGTTCTGGAAAAGAGGGTTTAGGATGCTGGAATGAGGCAGGCCCAGTTCCTCTCCCTGAAAATAAGTGGAGTAAGAGAACTAACACTAAACTGGAACCAAGAACTGCAGGCAAATAGGATGTAAGATGTTCTTTCCTGTATATGGTTCCCAAAATGAGCCTCTATCATCCATTGTCCCTACTGCCCACAGCCAACAAATATTTATTGAGCACCTACTATGTGCCAAGCACTGTGTATATGCTGAAGGGTGGCCAAGGACCACTCCAGCTGATGACTCCTTACATTTCCCTGCCCCACAACAAAGAAACGCCACTGCAGGGATGAAACGCCACTCTTCTAGCCACTGTTATCTCTGTTTAAAAACCCCAAATCAGTCATCCATAATAAAGCTGATTTGAAGTGTTACTCTTCTTTTGGAGGGGTTGAGAAGTGGAATGGGAAAAATAATGGAAGTGACTGCATAGTGTTTTCAGAATTTTGTGCCTTAGGCTAACATTAGATGGGAGCTTTATGTATAGTTTAAGAACAAGAACAAGTAGAGTTGGGGGTCCATTGTTAATCTGGGGTATCATCCGAAAGCCAGAGTCTAGTAGCCCAGGGAGATCCCACACACATACTAGGCCATGCATGTCCTTTGTCCCTCATCCAAGGGCATATAGTTATAGCCACTTAGATTCCTAAGGCCTCAAGTCAAGTAGAGGGAGATGGAGAGAGCATCTTTTTAAATTTTTTTAATTGACACATAATCGTACATATATATGGGGTATATTTTATTTTTTATTTTTTAATTGACATGTAATAATGAGAGCATCTTAAAGAAATTTTTTTTTTTTTTTTTAAAGATGACCGGTAAGGGGATCTCAACCCTTGACTTGGTGTTGTCAGCACCACGCTCAGCCAGTGAGTGAACCGGCCATCCCTATATAGGATCCGAACCCGTGGCCTTGGTGTTATCAGCACCACACTCTACCAAGTGAGCCACGGGCCGGTCTATCTTAAAGAAATTTTATCCACCTTTCAGCAACATGTTGGCACCTCTTTAATGTTGATAGGCCTGAGATGTGTAGGCATGAGGCATTTTGAAAACTAATAACTGCCATTCACTATGTGCCAGGTGCTATATTACATCTAATCCTCAGGTCAACTCTGTGAGGTAGGTGCTATTAAAACTACTTTACTCTTTCAGAAACTGAGGCACAGAGAGATTTTATTTGTCCAAGATTGCAAGGCATCAATAGGCAGAACCAGGTATTTTTTGTTGCTTTTTAGCAGCTGGCCAGTATCGGGATCTGAACATGACCTTAGTGTTATCAACACCAGGCTCTGACCAGCTGAGCTAACCGGCCAGCCCAGGAGCTGATCTCTTATCACATTTCATGCTGCAAGTCACTCAGCTGTAAACCCATATATTAGGATATAGCAGGTTGCCATTTAGAGGTCCCAAATGTCTATCTGTCCTGCTACCTCCTTGATGCCATCCAGCCTGACTAGGATTGATCAAAGAGCAGGCCAGAGGGGTGGTCCTCTCCCTTTTCCATTTCTTTAAAAAAAAAAAAGGAAGACTTTTTTTTCCTTTTTTTGGCGGCTGGCCCGTGTGGGGATCCTACTTGACCTTGGTCTTTTCCATTTCTATATCTCTTATGATCAAAGGAAGTTTCCCCTGCCCCTCATCTGCACTGAACTATTATTGCCAGAATGAACCCTGTCCCGTTTTCTCACATTTGGTGCACATCTAGTCCCCTGAATAGACCATAAACACCTAGAGGGCAGGGATAATTATTTGGCCCATATTTATTGTATACTTATTGTGTGTTAGACCCAGTGCTAGAGGCATATGTATATATCTGAGAGTCCGACATCCCTGGGTCTGAGTCCTCTGCTTCCCATTGAAACCATGCCCTTTCCAGTCCCAGTACATCTGAGGGAAGCTGGGGAGGGTGTCCTACAACAGGGCCTGTCTTAGGGAGAGAAGGGACCTGGTTTGGGGGGAGGGGGATTCTGAGGAGTGAAACCACTTCCTGTGTAGCTAGTTCCTGTGTTGACAGAGCTGAAGGGGAGGCTGGGGTGGAGGGAGCAGAGCTGGTGCTTGGGGGGCTACTAAGGCTCTGGAGATAAGGCCAGGCGTCCTTTCCCACCATGAGCCCCCTCCACTCTTGCAGCTGGAGAAGGTTTTCCCAGTCTCTGTGCTCCCTTGGGGCAAGAGAGGTCTAACAAGCTGTTTGGGTGGGAATAGACAATGGAGGAAGTTGACAGGGATGGGCGGGGCCCATGGGGGGGCTGACCAGGAACCCAGCTTCCTGCTCAGTACCCAGGCATCCAGCCCCCAGCTCACCCCCACCCCTTCCAGCCCCCACTCCCCTCAGAAACTCAAGATTCCTGCCCTCCTCCCAAATCCAAGTCACCCCTCCCCCATCAATTTCTCCCCTCCAGGGGATGGAGGCCGAGAGACCCCAGGAAGAAGAGGATGGTGACCAGGTGAGCTGGGCACTGGGAAGGGGAGGCTGACACTGGGAGATAGGGAGGTGAGTGGCAGTGGACTCGGGGGACTTGGAAAGACTTCGGGACACTGAGGCAGGATCAGAGACACAGAGAGAGGAAACAGGGCTCTGGCCTAAACCCCTGCCCTCCTACCCCTGATTGACTGGAATGGACGTCTCGGCATCAGAGCCCCCCTCAGGATGAGCACGGCTGGCCCCCTCTGAACTCCACCACTCGGCCATGGCGATCTGCTCCTCCGTCCCCTCCTCCTCCAGGGACCCGCCACACAGGTACATCCACCTGCCCAGGGAGCCGCCACCTCTGGTGCTCACATTCTGATCCCTTTACCAAGGCCCACTCCATCATGGGCCCACCCCCCACCTCCTCCAGAGTCCCCCATCACACCCCCCCTGCTCTGACCCAAAGTCCCTAGTCACCTCGCTCTGTCCACACACCCCCACCACTCCTGTCTGCCAACTTCTCTGGGTCTCTGAGTCCTTCTCCCTCCTCTCCCCAGCCCTGGGACCCCGCTCGGCCTCCCTCCTCTCCCTGCAGACTGAGCTCCTTCTGGATCTGGTGGCTGAAGCCCAGTCCCGCCGTCTAGAGGAGCAGAGGGCCACCTTCCACGTGCCCCAAAACCCCCCAAGCCTAGGCCCCACCCAGCCTCGGCCTCTGGAGGACAGGGAACAGCTCTACAGCACCATCCTCAGTCACCAGGTAAGACATCCCCCAGAAGGCAAGACCTGGGCCTCCTTGGTCTCTTGGCCCCTTTCTCCCTAGTCATCTACCCCATCGCCAGTCCCTAACCCCTTCCTTCCCCATCACAGGTTTCCCATGTGCCCCTCACACCAACCCTGGCTCCTCTCAAGGGTCCTCTCCCGTCAGACCCTCACTAAAGCTCTCCTTCTCCCTCCACTCCTCCAGTGCCAGCGGATGGAAGCCCAGAGGTCAGAGCCTCCCCTCCCTCCAGGGGGACAGGAGCTCCTGGAGTTGCTGCTGAGAGTTCAGGGTGGGGGTCGGATGGAGGAGCAAAGGTCCCGGCCTCCCACACACACCTGTTGAGACTTGAGCCCCCAACCAGCCCCTCCTTGCTCGTGGGGCTCAAAGTTGGGCAGCCCATTGCATGCTGTCAACCCTGCCTGGCAGAGGTACCAGAGACTAGAAGACCCAGCAGAAATCTCAATATTCATCGCACTCATCACCTTCCCTGGGAACTGGAGGGGGTGAAAGTCCTCAAACCCTGGGAATAGGCAAGGTAGGGTTGCCAACTTCCTCCCCAAGTACATGGGAGCTTGAGGTAGTAAGCAGATCCCATCCACGGATCTCAGGGAGTGGCTGGGAGTCTGCGTCCTGAGCTGGGGAGACACCACCAGCGGTCAAACTACTTGGGCAGGGTCTGAGCGCTCGGGCCTCTCCACCTCCCAAGAAGACAAATCTCCCAAGGATATGACCTGAGAGACAGCTCTACCCTGCTTCCCAGTAAGAAGAAAGGGAGGAGGTGGGCGGAGCAAAGAGAGGTCGACTATTTTTCCCACCTCCATCAGAAGCACCCCCAGCCCCAAGACTGAGGGGCCCACAGGCGGTGATGGACCTTTAGCCCCGCCCGCCGTCCCTCCCCACTGCTGCTCTGAGTCTGTCTGGTGTTTTGGTTGTACAAATAAATGTACTTCCTCTCTGGACTGAAGACTGGTGTCTGGGGGCGGAGAGGGCGGGGGTGGAAGATAGGAAGGTGAGGCCAGAGGACGCCTTTCTCCCCAGTCTGGCCAGAGGCCAGCTCCCCGCCCTGGCTGGTTAATTACTGGCTCATTAAGCAGCGGCTGGAGACCTCCCTAATTATCTCCCCCAGCCCCCCTTCTCCTGGTTTTAATTAAGTAGAACAGGGAGGGGAGTCATTAGAACAAGAAATATGAGCTGAGCTGTCTGTGAACTCAGGCATTCCAACGGCCAGAGTCCACATCACCTAGACCCCGGATTCAGAACCCAGGTGGCAGCCCCCCCAGCCCCAACAACGCCCCCCTCCCAGGCCGCAGCAGCCCAACCCCGGGGCCTTCCCACATTTTCCGCGCTAGGCCCATCTCCTCCCCTTGTTTCCCTTCCCTCTCCCCTCCTCCACTCGGTCTCAGTTCCTCTGTTTCTCTGTGTCTCTCCCCGCCCCCAGCTCCGCCCTGTTCCTCCTCTCTTCTCCCCTCCTCTTCCTCCCCGGCTCCCCTCCCCCTGCCTCCCTCCCTCGCTCCCCCTCCCCCCTCCTCCCTCTCTCTCACACACACCCCCGCTTGGGCCTCCTCTCTCTCTCTCTCTCCGGCTCCATTTTCTCCGCCGCCGGGGGCCGGGGTCTCCTGTGGGGGGCCCAGCCGGTACCCCAGATCTCCCTTCAGTGCCGGGGGTGGACCCCGGGGAAGCCGGGAGGGAGGAGACGGGCGGGGGTTGGGGCGGAGGGAACAGCGGCCTCAGCGAGTTCGGGGGGGAAGTAACCAGGCGGGGGGAGGGGGAAGCAGGGAGGGGGCCTCAGGGCCCCCCCCAGCTATGGACGAGCGGTTGCTGGGGCCGCCCCCTCCAGGCGGGGGCCAGGGGGGCTTGGGATTGGTGGGCGGGGAGCCTGGCGGCCCTGGCGAGCCTCCCGGTGGCGGAGACCCCGGTGGGGGTAGCGGGGGGGTCCCGGGAGGCCGAGGGAAGCAAGACATCGGGGACATTCTGCAGCAGATAATGACCATCACCGACCAGAGCCTGGACGAGGCCCAGGCCAAGTGAGTGCCCCCACGCCGGGACCCCACACAGACCCAGCAGAACCCCGTTCACAAGCTCTCAATCTTCTGGGAGCCCCCCCAACTCCAGGGCCCTCTCCAAGATCCTACAGCTCTCTTCTCTCCTTATTCCGGGAGTCCCTAGAAAAGTGATCCCTCTCAAACCTCCCTTCACCCCCAGGCCCTGAAACCTTCACGAGGGAACCCCAAGTCGTCTCACTTCCCTTCTAACCTTTTGCTGACCCCCCCCCCCCCCCCCCCCCCCCCCCCCCC